TTCATACATATTTTCAGATTTCTTCCTTTAATTTTTTATATGTAAAATAAAACTAGTAATACATTATCTAATAAAGTCAAAATTATTATTTCAGATTGTGCCAAATCTTGTAAGGATTTTAAAGAATCTGATACTAGCAGGGTATTCTCCAGAACATGATGTATCTGGTGTATCAGACCCTTTTCTTCAAGTAAAAATATTACGTCTCCTTCGAATTTTGGGACGTAATGATATTGATGCATCCGAAGCAATGAATGATATACTTGCACAAGTTGCAACAAATACCGAAACTAGTAAAAATGTTGGAAATACAATATTATATGAAACTGTATTATCTATTATGGATATAAAATCTGAAAGTGGACTCAGAGTTTTAGCAGTGAATATATTAGGTCGATTTTTATTAAACAATGATAAGAATATTCGATATGTTGCTTTGAATACATTACTAAAAACAGTGTATGTAGACACAAGTGCAGTACAAAGACATCGTTCAACAATCTTGGTAATATTATTATGCTGCTTCATATTTTTCTATTTATGTACTTTCTAATATCTAAATATTATATTTATTCGTTTCTTAGGAGTGTTTAAAAGATCCAGATGTATCAATTAGAAGACGAGCTATGGAACTCAGTTTTGCACTTGTAAATTCAAACAATATTAGAAACATGATGAAAGAATTATTACTTTTCTTGGAACGTGCTGATCCAGAGTTTAAAGCACAGTGCAGTAGTAACATAGTAATGTCTGCTGAAAGATTTGCGCCGAATAAACGTTGGCACCTTGAAACACTCTTCAAAGTTCTTGTTGCTGTATGAAATTTATTTTATTAATTTCATTATTTTATATATTGTTATTTATATATTGTAATTGTATTGTTTTTCAGGCTGGTAATTATGTCCGGGATGATGTGGTAGCTTGTACCATTCAATTAATTTCAGAAACACAGTCACAGCAAGGTTTTGCTGTTAGTGCATTGTGGAAAGCGTTAGAAAAGGATACATCTGATAAGCAACCTTTGGCTCAAGTAGCAACATGGTGTATTGGTGAATATGGCGATTTATTATTGTATGCACCACCGTCAGAAGATGTAGATGCTCCGGTCAATGTACGTGATATACATTTTATTTTGCTACATTCTTTAAATTTCTTTCAATATATATTTCTAATTGTAATTAAAGTAGTAAAACAGATAAACATAATTTTTCATCTTTCTATGATTATTAGTTAACGGAAGACGAAGTTATTGATGTCTATCAAAGGTTATTGTGGAATCCACAAAACACAGTTATTACAAAACAATATACTTTATTGTCTCTCACAAAACTGAGTACAAGATTCCAAAAGGGTAATGAGTACGTATTGTTAAAAAATTTAATTACTATCATTATTTATCATATCATAAGAAACATTAATTTATACCTATTTTCTTACATTTCAGAAAAATTCGTCAGATAATTGATACATTTGGGAGCAATTTACATATAGAGTTACAACAGCGAGGTATCGAGTTTTCACAATTATTTAGAAAATATGACCATTTACGACCTGCGCTGCTAGAAAGAATGCCCCCTATGGAAACAGCAAGACCACAAGCTAATGGAATTATCGGTATGGTAAATGGAGAACCAGAACCAGAAGAAGAAAAGTCATCTGTTTTAGAAGCAAGTACCCCACCATCTGATTCAGTAAGTTTATATCGACCATTGTATCAAAATACTTTATAGTTTGAATTCAATAACTTATACAACATAATTAATATAACTAACGAAATAATCTTAAAAATGTTATATTATAATAACAATGTCAAATTTTACAAAAGTTTCATATTTTTGTATTTTATAGAGTGCACTTCTAGATTTGCTTGGAACTGCTGACTTAGGAATGACCCCATCAGTATCAAATAAAAATCCACCTGTTAATGCAACAACCATAGTAAACAATAACGATCTCTTGGATCTACTTGGTAGTTTGGATTTAAGTGCACCAACACCTACATCTGTACTACCACAGGCACAAACGCCATCGCAAATATTTAGTCCCACTAATACAACCAACTTTTTAGTGGACGGTTTACTTAATTCGTCATCAGTTCAAAATGGTTTGTACAGCCTAATGAAATATTTATTTTTTATTGATAGTGACAAAATATAAATCTTATTTTGTTTCATAACTTTAGATACTCCTACTATGGTTGTATTGGACAAAGCAGGACTTAAAATAACTTTTAGATTAGAAAGACCACCTGATATCGCTGATTTATTAATTATCAGTATGTCAGCTCATAATTCTGGAAGTGCTATATTGACTGATTTCTTGTTTCAAGCAGCAGTTCCTAAGGTAAAAGCACGTAATATTTGTGGGCCTATTCAGTATAAAGAGCAAAACTAATTTTTTTTTTTATTTTTAGACATTCCAACTACAAATGTTGTCTCCATCAAGCACAGTTATTCCGCCTTCTGGACAAGTTACTCAAATATTGAAAATTACAAATATCAACAAAGTAAGCTTTTGTAACGATATTTCGTTTAAAAAGTTTATAGCTGTGTTTTGATTATTTTTCTTTTCCTAACGTAGGTACCTCTAAGAATGAGATTACGTATATCTTATACTGGACCAGCAGGACCAGTTTTGGAACAAACGGAAGTAAATAATTTTCCTTCTTTAACATCACAGTGACAAGATATATTAAGGAAGACAATTGTACATATGCCTGTTTAAATAAGTAATTGAGTCTTAAATAGACTGAAACCCAATTTCATCTCTTCATCGGGTAAAGTGAAAACATATTGGTAAAGGGACATGTTTGATAACAACACTTACCGATTAATTAATTTGATAGTTCGTCACATATGAACACGAACCTAATAACATTCAAATTTATAAAGAATTTTGTTTTTTTCTTCAACTTGTATAAACAAGTTCTTCATCTGCTCATGGGCTGTATTTTATAGTTGTAGAAAATTTGAATTTAGCATTTCCTTGTATGTATAATTTTTGTAAATATGTTTCGATATAAAAATCATTTTCAAATTTTAATTACTCTGTTGAGTACAGTAGCAAAACAAAATATGTTTTAAACATTTAAAAATTTACACAATCAGCAACTATTTTTAGTATTTTTAAAGCAAATATTGTTCATAAAGTTATTTGCACTATAATTGATTTAACTTGATGCTTGTTGAGCAGATGGTACGATATTTCTTTTAAAGTCTTTCAGAAGAAGTAAAATTTATTATTAGAATGAAATTATTAAATTTCAAATAAAGAAAGAAAGGAATGTAAAATTTCTCTTGTACTATGCTGCATGTATTGCGAGACGTGTAAATATTTTCTTTACTTGAATAATAGAATGATAGAACAATAATATTACATGCAACACTATTTGATTTGTTGAATTTGTAATTTTACAGCTTCTGATTTAGCATATAATTTCTCGTATAGGGTAATTGAATCAAAAATGCATATGAAAAAGATACGTAACAAAAAGTATTAAAATCACTTGAAAATGCTGGTAAAAAGTGTTTGTTACTAAAAATGTTGCTGCCCGATTATCAACGACAAGCACTTAAATCTCGCTGTAATAATTGATCTTTTCTACTATATTTGTAAGTAATAAATGGACGCGATTGCCTTGTAAATAACTAAATAATTGCAATGACATAGAAGTGATTAAATTCTTATTATGAGGAGTGTAAAATGGGGTTCTTTACTACATATGTTTATGATACAATTGTCATGTCAATAATTAGTAGAGAAACGTTGCTTTTTTCACAAAAAATTCA